TTGTTTCATTTTAAGCAAAAAGGCAAAGTTCAAAAACCGCGATTTTTCGAGGGGGGGAGAGTAAGGGCTCCGCCTTACCCACAGACGCGACATCTAGTGGGGAACTCGCGAATGCGCGACAATGTGCCCACTCGCGAAGCGCTTATCAGGCAGGAGATCTGGGGGAGAATCAGAAGGAGCTGCGGGGCAAGGAGGAGCAGAACAATATTTTCAGAGAAGTTTTATTAAAGGTTCCCAATGATTGACCCACTCAGAATGGAGGAGTATTTAATAGGTGAAATTTGGTGTGCTGGAAACCTTGGTGAGTTGCGTTACAAACAGAAAAACAGTATTCCCATATATTCTTCTAATGTCCCATATATTCTTAGCTTTCCACCCAGATCCTCTGTGGAAAAACTCTGACAGAGGTTCAAAAAGGATTCTGGTCACCCGCTGTTGGAGAAGATAAACCACGCCAAAGACAAATTCAAAAGCAGAAGAAAGATGGTGAAGTATCCAACAAAGAAAATATTAAACCAAGAGGTGAGGATAATTATTAATTGCAAATGCTTTTGAATGCTTAATTGAAATGCATAATGAGAAGGATTAATTATGCATAAACTTTTGCAGGTGATACTCAGAAGCATAATTCCAAATTGCAACCACAGTTTGTAACACCCAAGAGGAAGGTTGAAAATCCTCCAACGTCATTCATTTCAAAAATCGGACCTGTTCCAAAAAATCCAAGTGACACATTGTATGCCCTTCCAATTACACCAGTTGCAGAAAGCGCACAGCCTCATGTGCTTCAACAAGAGCAGGATGTTGAACCAACACACAGCAGCACCAACACCAATGTGACAGCGTCAAAAGGACATTCACTTCCTTGCGTGAAGGTCTTAGTGAACTTGTTAAAAGTATGCTTCCTCTCACGTACGTTCTGTTTAATTGTAGTGATTTAATGAAAGTACTTGTTTCTCCAGGTACAGAAGGATACATTCAAGAAAGTCAAGTCATACATTCTGAGTCATATACGTATGACAAGAAAAGATGTTTCACCAAAATAGGAAACATCATCCCAGAGTGTAAGAATTACTAGAAAGGGAAACTATGCCATTGTCAATCTTAACATGTATTTCATTAATTATTCCCTAATTTAATTGTTATACTTATTTTCTATCACCCATAGCACTTTCTCAACAAGCACTCCCGAAACAATTGTATGAAGCGAGAGACATTTGTACAGATCCATGCTATCATGAGTTTGCATCACCAAAGATTCCAAGATTGGGAGAATGCACAGAGCAGTCATCAGTAAACGGTGGGGGTATGTACATCGTAAATCAATGCTACAAGTGAATTATTTAATGCAATGACTTTCTACCTTATCATTATTACAGACTGGATTTCACCATTGGGTAGTACACCTGAAATGGCAGGTGGCAAATCAAACAGCATGCAGCAGGAAATGAACAAGGTATTCCTGGAATGCATGGAGAAATTAAGGACAAGACTGCATTCTATAAATCTACGGGAATCTGAAGCTCTGGAGAATATCAGAAAAAAGCAAGAAGCTCTGGATAGGAGGGAAGCAGAAGTCCTGGAGAACATCAGACAAAAACAAGATGCCCTCGACATACGGGAAGCTCAATTTTTTGAAAATATCCAGAAAAGGGAAGAAGCTGTTTCAAATAGAGAAGTAGGAGCAACAATTGGTGCATCAATTCAAGACTTCCTGAAAGAAGAACTGACAAAGTACTTTAGTCACAACCTTCCTCTTGAAGTAACACAAGCATCATCACAGAACAGAAGTATGACTGTCTTCAAATGCAAAAAAAAATTTGCATTTGTTTATATACTTTAACTTCATTACAGGCGTCTATCAAACTCCAATTGAATTGGGATTTCGGTTCCCAATCAAGACTAGAGCAGAGCTACTTCAAATTGATTCACTACTTTATGATGACAGCAAGCGAGAGAAACTGGTGAGTGAAATTCCTCAACTACATGCATAGAATCGACCAAATAGTGAATGAAAAATATTATGACATAATGACTGACGTACATCGTCTTCTTCCTGTGCATATGCCCAAAAGCCTAATTTATATTTGTCTGATGTATTTCTCATAATTTTCAGATATCTTACATGCATGCTCAAAAAAAAACAAGTTCACCAATGAGTAAGGCGTGCTACTTCATCTTCATGGAGTGCTTCTACAAGGGGATGATGTTACAGGTCTACTGTTGTAACAAAGAAAATCATACATCAAGACAAGGTATGTACATATATATATATATATATATATATATATATATAAATATGTATGTATATTTTTTTTATTTAACAATAAAAAGAAAGGTAATGAAATACCACATATTTCTACAGATGCTGATAATGAAAAAGACAAAGAAGATTTGTGTGACAATAATGGCATTGGCGGTGTCATTCCAGTCAGGACTCTTGAAGAATGTGATGGACAGAAATTTGAAGAATGCCAGGACTTTCCATACGTTTTGGACTACAACCATCTGCCTCTTAATCTTCAGCATTGTTTAAGTAGGGAAGAACTCAGGATTGTAAGTATAACATAATGTAATGTATTCAATTGCAATAATACAAATGAAATTCATATTTCAGCCACTTAACAAACTGCCGGGCCTTATGGCCTTCTTCCAACAGTTCTATAAAATGAACCCACCTCCTAGGGAGAATGGAACTAAGAAAAACATGAAGGAGTTCAATGAAGACTCTGGAGAACTTGCAGCAGCCATGCAGCTGGCAAACACAAACAAATCTAAAACACTCAGGTATGCATAAATCTCCAAGTGTTTATATATGGGTTTTAACAAAAAAAATGTTTTCTACTTTATACAGAGCTGAAATGAATGACAGCATCAGGAGGATAAGATATGATGAAAGAGTCAGGAGGGACAACCAAAGGATTATTGATAAGAAGATACAAGCAAGAAATACTTATGGTGCAGGTGAAGAAAAGTCTGTATATGCATTTGCACCTTTCTTCATAGAATATGAAAGTAACATTTCACATTGGTACGCAAATGCTCGTTTTCGAAATTTGGATGCTCCTGTAAGAAAGTAATGTCTTCTGCAGGAGTACCTTTACATTTTTATACGCAATTTTTTTTATTTTTGAACTTATTATACTGTTTTGTACTTTGTAATTGTACTTTGTACCATGAATTGTGTTGAAAATGCTTGTTTGTTTTGTTTTTAATTACGTAGAAACATACATATGTACATACATACATATATATACATTCATACATACATACATTCAATCATTCATTCATTCATTCTTTCTTTGATTCATTCGTTCATTCATTCATATTTGCAAAAGAATGTAAAGTAATTCATTATTGTATCATTATTTATGCTTAGGATACTGCTGGTTCTCTCCACCGACAAACACTAACCTGTAGCACCATTCCATCGGCCGAGAGACTTACCTATAGCACCATTCTTGCAACCGACACACTTGTAGAGTACTACACTCATGACCTACACACTTATAAAGCACAATACTCCTGACCAACACACTTGTAAAGTACTACACTCGCGACCGACACACTTATAAAGCACAATACTCTCAACTGACACACTTGTAAAGTACTACACTTGCGACTGACACACTTATAAAGCACAATACTCTTGACCGACACACTTGTAAAGTACTACACTCGCAACCGACACACTTATAAAGCACAATACTCTCAACCAACACACTTGTAAAGTACTACACTCGCAACCAACACACTTATAAAGCACTATACTCGCGACCGAGATGGGTATAAAGCACTATTGACCAACACACTTACTATCCTCTTGACCAACACACTTGTGAAGCAGTATGAAGCACTATTGACCGACACACTTGTAAAGTTCTATCCTCGCAACCGACACACTTACTATCCTGTTGACCGACACACTTACTATCCTCTCGACCGACACACTTACTATCCTCTCAACCGACACACTTATAAACCACTATCCTCAACACAAGCATATAGCACCATACTTGCGACCGACACACAAATATAGCACCATCCTCTCGACCGAGAGACTTTCATATGCCTTGATGACATACTTTCATCAGCAACCGCCACACATACACAGCACCATTCTCTATCATACTGTATACATATACATATATATATATCCTATGGGGCGAGAGACTTAAATAACCCTCGGCCGAGAGACTTCTTTAAGCTTTGGCCGAGAGACTTTTCAATAAGGGAGGAGGGGGGCGCGCATGCGTAGACCCATTGCACCCGTCCATCCCAGGGGATGGCACGTCCAGATGCATGCAATGAAAATGAGGTGGGGAGCGCGCGCATACGGGCCCATTGCGCCCCTCCATCCGAGGGATGCCTGCCTGCCAGGGCTAGCCGGATTCATCCTGTAAGACCATCCCACGGTATGGACAGGGGGCTCCAATAGCCATTGCATCCCAGATGGGCCTAGGGATGCCCCGATTCTTTGCTAGGCAAGAGAACGTTTCCAATTTCCGCTTTTCTCTAGTCCTTGTTGACTCACCCCCACCAAATCTGCAAGTTATCATTATAAACTGGCCTTGGTGAAGAGTTGATCTTCCTCAAAGATAGAAAAGGTACTCAACATGAATACATTTTGGTATAAAAAACTTACATAACCAATGGTTGCGTAATTTCAGGTAGGAAAACTTTTGCCGACAGCTTGTAGCAAAAAATTGTAAACCCACTATGCCCATATGTATATGAAATGAAATTCAATTCAACCCATTCCTTCATCTATGCCAGGAACTGTTACAGAAAATATTTACATCAATGCTCGAAAACAAAATTAAGAAGTGAGGTTTGAAATTATACCATGCAGAAGTACTGAACATCAGTCCATCATCCGTCAGCTTGAATGACAGCAACTGGTAAACCGTAATCCCAAAAGTCCAATTGACTTCCGAAATGAAATAGGAAGTCACTCGAATATTCGAGTGAAAACAAAAAGCGAAACGACACGATGCTTCGCGCAACTTCGACGACTTTTTGTACACAGGCGAGGAGACATAGCGCTGCATATTAGCGTCAACAAAGTTTTTAAAAGAGTCACGTATTTGATTCCAGCAAACTGACACTCCCGAAACCATCACCTCATCTTGTCTCAAACGAAGATAAAATCGAAAAAAACGAATTTTCGAAAAATAGTACTTCAGTGACGGGGATTATGAAGCAGATAGTTCGACAACGATTGAGCAGCACCAGCTTTCGCCCACCTATCCGCAGCATGATTTCCGGCGTCGCCGGAATGGCGTGGTACCCAATTCTGGAAAATGATTGAGAACGAAATAAGGAGATACAATTATTTCGGAAACATTATTTTTCAATAAAAAAAAATGCGAAGGAAAAATCGAGAAAATGTCATCTCCCATTTCTCCTTCAGAACAAAAATCGTCCCGGATAAGATCGGACATGTGTCTGCATTGAGAAGGAAAAAAATCTCTTCGTGCTTCACGACTACAAAAATCTTTCCACTCGACGAATTTAAAACTGGTCGAGAATTTACTTGAGAAAACCCGATCGCATCCGGTGAACTGTTCCAGTAGAAATCTAAAAGCAAGCAATTCCATTGAAAACAAGGTTGTTACGGAGAGATACAAATTTGTATCCGAGACTACATTGACTCTGGGATGGTTTTTCTCAAGCAGAAATACCATTCGAAAAAATGAGCACAGTAAACTAACATAACACACGTGCAGAAGATTGCTTTGTGCAAAAAATGAACTCAGTACTGCACTAACATAGCGCACGTGCAAAAGAGAGTGTGCTTCATCGATTGCTCGAATTTCAGCTTGATTCTCAATTGCATACTTTGAGGCTGTCCTCCAGCCATGTTGTTTCCAAAATGTCAACCATTCGGTAACGCAATTGATGGCGCACTTGGATTCGCTTCTGATCTCAATCATCTGCAAACCTGCATTTCAAACGTTGGTAAAAATAAATTGATAAATACAATATGGGATATTCTTAAAATTCCTTCACCACATCCATGCGCCGCGTGGATCGCATACAGCAGAGCCAACAGTTCAGCACGATTGATTGTTCCAGGAACTTCCAAGGGCTCCGAAACGTTTCTGCCACAACGAAATTACAGTATCAGTCAAATACTGTATTGTACATCATTCTCACACACCAACAGATAATTTTTTTTTTCGAAAAAACACGATGCCTGAAATTCTTTCTGTCCTATAGTCCATAAAAATGCCATCATACTTTTCCGCTGCCTCAAGGACTAGAACGAAAACATGAACAGCGCCAGTTTTGCCCATTCCAAATATTCCGTGGATTTCAAAATTCGTGGTGCAACGTCTTTCGGTTATTTTTTCTGAGACGTTAGTGCTTATAACTTTAAACCAGTGCCAAAACAAAGGCACACTTCAAGAGCATTGCTCTATTACTCTAGAAACAGTGTCAATCAATAAATAAAGAAATAAGGAACAGAAAGACCGACCTTTAGAATGATCCGAGAAAGTGAACTTCAAAAATATTGTACAGTACTTACGCGGGATGATCATGTCCGAACCAGACTCCGACACCAGCGTTCTTCACTGGTTCCATGCAGGATCCACCCGCGTAACAATACGCATATCCATCATCCATGTATAAAAATCGACTCAAAGCCAGGTGCGCCCTCTGTGCACCATCGTGAACTCTCTGAGGAATAATCACCTATTCGAAAGATTGAATTTTAAACGAGAAGAAGCGGTGACATGATAGATTGAAATACCTTGTTTTCTTTTGTATCTGTGGCAGGAGTGTCCATAAGAAAAGATTTTCAGTTTGTCGACGTAGCACGTTCTTGGGGATCGGGAAGAAGATTTCTACTTTGGAGAAACACTTCTTACTTTTTTCAGTATCCCACGGTTCAATATTCGAGTGAAAACAAAATAGGCGAAACGACACGATGCTTTGCGCAATTTCAACGCCGCAAATGTGAACGATTCACCCTTAGTTCCACACAGAACCTGCGGAAAACAAAAAAAGGAGCTCGGAATGATACAACACAAGAAATATTTCACTATACAGTACAGTGAATGCAAGAATGTTTTTACTTCAATAATCGAGATTTGCAGAACAGAAGCGGCAGTTAGACGGGGTACACAACATACCTTCCATAGCGAACAAAAATGGAATCCGGAGAACAGCTGTACACTCGAAGAAAGTTTGAATTTCCCGCCTCAGATTGTCGAGAGACACGACTGTACAATATTGTCGAGTTTACACCCGAATAAGGAAGAGATAATTACAACCAAGTATACTAGGAGAAATTCACTTTTCAGACCAACCGATTTATAGAGATTATCAGGTTTCCAATGACTTTTTATACACAGGAGAGGAGACATAGCGCTGCATATCTTCAAAAACAAAGTTTTTAAAACAATCACGTTTTTTATTCTAGCGAACTGACAATCCCAAACCATCACCTCATCCTGTCTCAAACGAAGATAAAATCGAAAAAACGAATTTTCAAAAATTAGTATTTCAGTAATAGTAATTATAACCCTGATAGTTTGCCAACGATTGAGCAGCACCAGCTTTCGCCAACCTATCCGCAGCGTCATTTCCGGGGTCGCCAGAATGGCCTGGTACCCACTTCTGGAAAATTAATGTGAATGAAATGAGGAAATACAATTATTTCGGAAACATTTTTCGATTAAAAAAAATGCGAAGGAGAAACCGAAGAAATGTCATCTCCCACTTCTCCTTCAGAACAAAATTCGTCTGGGATAAGATCAGGCATGTATCTGCATTGAGCAGGAAAAATATTTGTTTTGCACGGCTACAAAAATCTTCGCACTTGATGAATTTAAAACTGGTCGAGAGTTCACTGAGAAGAACTCACTGCAACCGGTCAGCTGCTCTATTAAAAATATTCCATATTTCTAACCAGGCAATTCTATCGAAAACAAGAATGTTACGGAGAGATACGAATTCGTATCCGAGACAACGATATTTCCGGAAAAATTCCATTTAAAAAAATTAGTTCAGTAAACTAACCCAGCGCACGTGCATCGAATGTTGCAGATCGATCCGTACATCATCAATGGCTCGAATTTCCGCTTGATTCTCGACTACGTGATTTGATTGTGTACGCCAGCCATTCCTTTTCCAATTCGGCAACCATATAGTGACGCAATTGATGGCGTACTGCGAGTCGCTTCTGATCTCGATCATCTGCACACCTGCATTTTTAACGATGGTAAAAAATAACTTGGTAAATACAATGTGAGATGTTTACCAAAATTCCTCACCACTTCCAGACGCCGCGTGGATCGCATACAACAGAGCCAACAGTTCAGCACGATTGTTCGTTCCAGGAACTTCCAAGGGCTCCGACACGTTTCTGCCGCAACGAAATTACAGTATCACAGTCATATACCGTACATCATTTTCACACACCATTAGATAATTTTTTTTTTACAAAAACACGATGCCTGAAATTCTGTCCTAGTCCGTTAAAATTTGTCCGCTCCCTCGACGACTAGAACGAAAACTGAAACAGCGCGCGACTTGCACATTCAAAATGTTCCGTGGATTTCAAAATTCGTAGTGCAACGTCTTTTGGATATTTTTCTGAAACGTTAGTGCTCACAATTTTTAACCAGTACTGTATTGGAACAAAGGCTCGATTTAGGTGCATTACTCTATTACTCTAGATAGAGTGTCACTCAATAAATAAATAAATAAATAAAGACCGACCTTCAAATGATCCGAGAAAGTGAACTTCAAAAATATTGTACAGTTATGTACTTACGCGAGATGATCTTGTCCAAACCAGACTCCGACACCAGCGTTCCTCACTGGTTCCATGCAGGATCCATCCGCGTAACAATACGCATATCCATCATCTGTGTGGTAAAATCTACTCGAAGCCAGGTACGCCCTCTGGGCACCATCCATAACTCTCTGAGGAATCATCACCTATTCGAAAGATTGCATTTCAAGAGAAAAGAAACAGTGGCATGATAGATAGAAATACTGTACCATGTTTTCTTCTTTAGCTGTGGCAGGAGTGTCTACACGAACAGATTTTCAGTTCGTCAACGTTGCACGTTTTTAGGCCTCGGGAAGAAGATTTATACTTCGCAGGAACACTTATCACTTTTTTCAGTATTTCACGGTTCACGGCACGACCTGTGAGCGTATAGAAAAATAAATCATGAGTTATTGAAAAAAAAAGGCAATCCTGTGAACTCGTAGACTTTCCGAACATGAACAATTTAACCGCATTCAAATCAATTGATATGAAAAAACTTGAATAAGACTGATTCATCGCAATTTACGTGTGTTGACAAAAGCTGCGCGTTAATTTCATTACGCACTTCAATTTCGCAGAAGTTTCCAGTTCAGTTCTCCTTTGGGATTCAGCCTAGCTCTCAGCAATTCAAGCAATTCACTTCGTGAATTACCGACCAACTCTCTTCAGCGGATCACAATTAAATCCCTCTACAAGAAAGAATCTGGATCCCAGAAAAAATGTTCTCAGAAGACTTCCATGGATCGGAAAATTAAATCGAGACACGATACCGACTTTCCGACTACGGTATTTTCTGCTGAGAAGAACATCAGCTTTTTCGCAGACGGAATAATTAAATCGGAAATACAGTAACATAATTTCCAGTTAGGTTATTACTTCCCCATCCTCGTGAGGTGAAAAATCCTGCCTGTCAGTAGAATACCCATAATCCTTGCACAGTTTGATGAAGAAGTTATCCCGCACATCAACAAATAGCAAATCCTTAGTTATACCACTGTTGCAGGATTAACATACCACTGAACACTAACGGAACAACCAGTGTCGTCTCGCCGAGATTGAAATTTTCACGTTTTTGGTCTCAAACAAAAACAGATTCGCGGCATCAGCACTGCAAATCGGCGTTTAAATTCAAGAGGACCGATTGTAAAAAAAAAAAAAATTCACCAACAAGATGGACACCAGCTACTAAATATCACGTTTAGATCGCGACGAGGGTCCGAAGTTACTCGGACACAGTCTCCGACGAACAACGCAGTTGACGGAAACTTCCCTAGAATTTTCTATGCTGTTTACTTCTGATTGGTGGGCAAAATAAATCGAAGATGGCTTCGTTCCAGCTCGCCACTGGTCGAACAAGCCGGAGGAAGCTTTTTCGAACTGGTTTGGGACCACACTACTGTACCTCTGCTTTCATCACATTCGGCATCTTCGCCAAGAAAGGTTCTTACAATCCCGTTCATCTGCGAAACCCGTTCTTTCGTCTTTACTATCCCGCACGGGGAATATTTGCAATACAGTACTTAGAAGATACTGTACAAGTAATTTAGAGCGAAACACGTTTCTTTCTTTCGGCCGAATTTGAGCAGCAACGAGAAAAAATAAGGAGCTCGATGGATGATTTCGGGAATAATGCAAATTCAATTCGGAGAAAAATTTCAAGGGTTTTGGCTTTTGAGGCACTTGCATTTTTAATCGCAAATTATACTCACTCCTCAAGGTCCATCACTTGAATACAGTATAAGATTCGTCACAGATGTGCACAAGATCGAATAAAAATGATCGGATGTGTGATCGAATAATTTATCATAGGTACAGCACTAGAATTTTTGTGTACAGCAAACTTAAGATGCATTACCGTGTTATACATTTAAAATAGCACAACGAATCATCAACTTTAACTCAATCTTGTCGATATAAAAATGCACCTTTTTTCTTAAATGCCAGATTCACAGCATACTTTTTTGAGTATCATCTTTGTTCCTCAGGATTTCGCGCTACTTTCCCAAAAACTGCACTGAATCAATCTAAAAACGTTTCCAACTACTGTACTGTACCTGTATTACGATTAGTGTTCCCCAACCCTCGAATAAGTTTTTTGCTGGTCCATGACACATTTCATACAGTATAGTAAATTGTCAAGAGTAGCAATGAAGTCTGTTCTCTTCATCTGAAAATTTGCAAGGACAATTGGAATTTCAATCATCCGATGAAAAAATACAATTTGGTTTTTCTACCAATAGAAAAACAAAAAATGGTTCCCCTGTTGAAAAAATTGTTTTAATTTTTCATTCTGAGGAATCTTTCTTCCAGCCCAGCTTTCTAATTTTTTTCAAGTTAATCGCACTATGTAACTGCTTCATCAGTTCTCAATTTTTGCAACAAAAAAGAAACTTTTGAAAAGTCTGCCATTAAGTCTTTCAAACAAGGAAATTTTGATTCTACCGCAAGAATACGAAACTTCGCCGGTGCGCAAAAGATTTCTGGATATTTACCGGTTCGCTGGCCCAAAAAGTTTGGGGAACACTGATATAGATCATATTAAAGCGTTTCTACTACGCGCGGTTGCAATGTATAACGATTGCCGATCTTTTTTGCACATCACACATGGCTAATGCAAATTAAATGCCATCAATCACGTATATTTTTTTTACACCGGGCACGGAGGAAAATATCTCCATCAGGAAAATCACTCGGGACACCATTATATTCGAAATATTCAACGAGCAACTCGAGGGACGAGACACCGAAGTTCGACGACGGAACCCAATGAATGGGATAATTTTGCCGAACCCATCACGTTTTATACAGTGCTTGACTCCCTCTGACATGTCCTCCGAAATATGCGTGGCCTTTCTCACACCTAAACGCAATAATAGCCCGAGTGGCATCTTTAATCCAATCGGCTAGGTTCATCTCCGTCTAGCAATTAGTCAGGGAGATGTTTCGTCTCCATAGTGGATTAAGAACAATTCTGCACGGTGAGATACCCAGTAAACCCTTTATGCATCATGGGATTAACTTTAATCCTGAAAGATTTTTTCCGGTAACAGTAATACGGGGAATATTAAGAACAGCGAGAGGCCCATTCAAATGGCTGGACATTTACTACATCTTTTGATTGGAAAATTGGCAGCAAAACATTTGGAAGAATGGATTTAAGCAAAAATGATCGGTTGAGAACGAGCCAGTGAATTAATGAATGACACTGACCGGAGTGTTTCCGTGATGTTCGCGTAAAATTGCAAATAGAATTCAATCATTAAATTAAATGTTCATCATTAATATATACAAAAAGGATGAGCAAAAATTACATCGTGAATTTGGCGGTTAGAGATAAATGAAGAAAGTTGAACGCTGCGTGAATTTCCGTAGCAATCTTTGCATTTAACCTGAAATTTTCACTGGGACGAAGACTTATCCAAAAGCCTTAGCACGAATCAATATTAATTATGCGCACAATTTTTCCGCAACACAAGATAGTAATTATAATGGAGAATCAATTACAATAATGTAATTGACTCTCGCTAAAACTGAATAAAATTTTTCTAGAAGCTTAAGAGATCATTTTAACACATTTTCAATGTACCATTAATGTACCCGAACTGAACCGAAATTCTTAAAAAATCCATCAGCTATAAACTCTTTAAAATTATCATCTCATACAGTACATTTCTTCGGAGACCAGGGCAAAATCCGCGCAGCAACAGACTCCAGCAAAAACAATACGAAGTGCGAAAAATCAGAAAACGTCAACAGCAGGCAACCGGTTGTTAATTCAGCATGAATAGCTGAAAATCAGCATTGTGTTGAACAAAGAAAATTGAGGGGAGTGACTCCGGTCAACTCACAGATGCAAACAGCGATTCGCTGCGAAAAATCCAGCAAGAACTTGACGCGATAACAAATCAAGAAGTTGAGTTCACTGAGAAGTAGTTTTAAGCTCACAGTTTTGACACGGTGACATTCAGCGCTAATAGGAAAACAAGTTCACCTCAAAAACCTTGCGAACAACAAAATCGTGGAAGGGAAGTGGCAGGAAATTTCAGCAACCCGTTCCACACAATTGTACAGAATTACGGTTTCCTGTTTCGTGTTCTCCTGTCTAATTTCCTTAGTTTTTTCCATCACCAGCGACTATTGTTTCACCAGAGAGGGGAGAAATTCTGCAGAACAACTCACTGCTGAAAGATGAGACGTTCTCGGAAAAGCAACCCCTCCGATTTTACTTTTTCTCGCCGCCACATGAGTTTATAATCCCCTCAGTTCGAAACAACAACAAAAACTAGAAATAATCCTTTAACTTAGCCGACTCGTAACAATTAGTCAATGTCAATCTCTTATCAGTGAGATGTCAATTCTCTCGTAAATCATCAACTCTTAAATGCCCATGCAGAACTTCAGTGCTCGAGGCGATCCCTCAATGTCAATGACACTCGTTAATCTTCCGATTCAAGACAAGGTAACCACAATAGGTTACCTATTCAAGCAAAAACTTGACTCAATCAAAAATCAGGAAGCTCAGTTCACTGACAATTTTAACGGTGTAACACTAACCTGGCGAAGTTCGGTGTTATTCGAGAAGAACAAGCTGACCCATCAAACCTTCAAACCACTCAAAACAGCAGGGTACCGACAGGAAATCTCGGCAACCACTTTCAAAAATTGGACAGAATTACGGTTTCCTGTTTCACGTCCTTGCTTCTTTCGGCAGTTTTACGATCACCCCAGACGACTGTTTCACCCGACACATTCCGCAGAAAATCTCATTGTCGCTTTATCGCTGCTGAAAGACGAGCTGATGCCGATTTTCCACCAGCTGCACCAGAACAATGCATCTTCCTCGAAAAACAACCCCTCCAATTTTGCTTATTCCCGCCGCGACACATGAGCCAATTGTCCACTCATTTCGAAACAGAGAACTAGAAGGCGTCCTTTACGTTTGCCGACTCAAAACAGTTAATCAATGTCAACCCGCTCCATGAGATGTCAATTCTTTCATAAATCTCGGAAACTCCAATACTCAAGTAAATCCTTAGTGTTCCCAGCGATTCCTCAATGTCGCTGAATCCGTCTAATCTCCCCATTCAGGACAAGGTAACCACAATAGGGTGTCACTCTCATGGACACAAAGGATAAACATGCCGCCAAATTGAAAAAATAGTCTCCCGGCTATTAGCTTTCCTTTGAATCGTTTCATTGAAAATATTCAGCACCAACATGTATCACTTCATCAGGATATATTACAAGATTCTTCGAAGTCTGTAATTTTGAACGAAGTAATCTTCCGACTCGCTCGTCCAATCGCTCTTCTTCCGAATTAATGAACAAAGGCATAACACAACACTTGCATGAAAACAAAGGATAGAACTCAATGGATCACTTTCGCAACTCTTAGCACAGTACAGCATGCAGTCACTTCCTCCTGAAGTTTCTATGAACCGTCCCGAAGCAAGGAAATGAAGACTCTTACTTTCTAAATTGTCCACACAAATCTATTCCTTTCTCTTTCCGGGGCGCCGTCAACGGCTTCCATTCCGGGAGTGTGTGTCATGGGAAGCTACTGATGCAGCTTTTTTCCGCTCACTGTCGCGAAACTCAATGGCCCGTCAATTAAGTTGTAAAACTGCTTGTTGCATACTTCCTGTACAAAGGACTAAAATCTTCGCGTTTTTTCCGAACGAACCCCCACCAACTTCCGGGAATGAAGCGATGGAAATGGTCAACAGCAGAAAAAGAAACCGTTGTCGGCCATTGGTGCAGTCAGAAATCCAATTTAAAGCACGTTTAACCAAACTGGAAAGGAACAGACAAAAATCCCAATCCTCAAACAAAGCTGCCTTCAGTTTTCAAGGATCGATTTGAACTTTCATGCTGATCCACCACAAGCGTCAATCGGGAATTCATCGCGAGAGTTTCGACTAGGTGAATTCATTCATCCGAAATCATTTCCCAATCATTCGGACTTCGAATCTTTCGTGGAACTCCTCAGAAGTGGTGGCGGTATTTTCGAAACTTGGCAAAGATCTAACATATCTTCCGAAATCTGATCCCGAACCCACGTCTGAAACGGCTCCATGACAAAATCCCGTAGGAGAAAAAATCCCGCGGCCCGAAAATCCCGTGAGGCCAAAAATCCCGTAGACCGGAAAATCTCGCATGGTCCAAAAATCCCGTAGGTACGAAAATCCCGTAGGAGAAAAAATCCCAATGAGTACAACAAAATTGTAATATTGTCTCTATGGGTTACCCTTCCAACTGTCTGGAAGGAATACAAATCTGGTGGATTATGAGATTGTGAAAGTGCAAGGGTTTTAATTCCTTCCAAGGGTTTGGGAGGTTTAAGGATCATCTTTCTCAATAGAATCTCACCTACACTTCCTCATCTTTCTCAAAAGAAAGGTGAGCAAGCCTGGGAAAGATGTAGCCTTCATCCCTGCATTGTTTTGTATATAAACTGTGTAATATTCCGATGATTTTCACAGCTCAACTTTCCCTTCTGAAGTAATAAACTTGCATCAGTTTGGGTGGAAATCTTGTAGAGTTGAACATTTGTGGACTTTTTAGAGATATTTTATATTATTTCATATACATAATGTACTGTATATTGAATATTAAGATTGAAAATGAAATATAACTATATATAACTGCATTTAGACTTCTTTGTTGATTTTTAATTGCTTAAATAACATTGCCTTCTGTAGTTTCAAACTTAGTTTTTCCTGATATGAAAATTCCTTTTTCAGGATTTTCGTACCTACGGGATTTTCGGACCTTTCGACATTTTTGGGCCTACGGGATTAACGGCCGCCGCGGGATTTTTTCTCCCACGGGATTTTATCCTGCACCCGTCTGAAACACCCTGCTCATATTCACGAACAAACAAAAAAGGGTTTCACCCCAAAATGGACATGTTGGAAGACACGATACGACTTCTTCGTCACGTGGAGCCAACCCCTACCTCAGAAAAAAAATTGTCACACAAATCGCCTCAGAGACAGTCAACATATTTACAGCTTCCAGGTGGCCTACAAAAATTGAACCTTCTAGTCCTAATAAATCTTTCCGAGCAGTAGTCACTCCAGTCAGCTATTACAAAAGGAATTGCCCCAGACAACACCTGATTGGGAAAACACATCCCAAAATTGGCAACAGAAACAAAACCCTTCAACATCTGGGGGGAAAATTTGAACCTCCACCGTCTTGAGATGGGTAACAAAAAACTTCAGGGACATTCTACTTCCCTATTACAGCTGACAATAACTATAGAGTAGGGACTTTTTCAATCTCAAAAGAGGCTGCTATATCTGAATCTCATAAAACCGTACCGCGGACGAGTGCATGCAGGTAATCCTGCAGTTCATGCAGCCAAAAAAAAAGGGCGATCCGACCCCAAAAAAGGGTCCGCGCAGAGTCCTTTGTCTGGGGCAGGGCCTGAGTTTTCACGAGAATTTGCATGCCAAAAGTGTCATCCTCATTTTGGGGACACACTTTCGGCTTGCAAGTTCGCGCCCTCTGCAAGCTAGTTTTCGCATTTTAGCAAAATTTTTTTCCGTGCAAGTTCGCGCATTTTAGCAACTCTTAGGAATAGATCCGAAGGGCTACTTCAAATTAGTTTTTCACATTAACGTGCGGATGTGAAAAAATAAAGAAAGTCCTCAGTGCTTGACTATTCCTTTTTCTTTATCACTTCTTCCCGAGGTCGGCATGTCAAAGCTTCTCTGACATTAAAGAATTGTTTGGTGCCCCCCGTTTTTTTGGCCGAGCAGGGGGTTCATGCACTCCGACGCAGTTTCATTACATTTCCGAAGCTTCTTACCTCAACGGAACTGTAACTACAGTACTGTAATATCAGGAGCTTCTTTTGCGGATAGACGACAATCCCTGATCTACAAATTACAGAAGTTGTCCTGTCGAAGGAATCAGCACTCTGCGAAAATTACGGTTACAAACCTGCGTAAGCGCTGATGACGCTTTACTCGATTGGCGATTGGAAAAAATACTAATACTGCATACATAACCATCAAATTGAAAAATAACTCCGGCTAGGTTGTATTCTTCCAAAAAGTTACAACGAGGATTCATTTCATCAGTCTAGCATAGATAAACTACCGAAATCAGAATGGCTGGTATCTAAAAAAAAAAATTCTGGTCTTCGAAAATTGTCAGCAATTTTGCTGGTCTGTGGAAAAATTTAATGACAATGTGCCGGCCCCCAAAAGATTTCGTTAAAATTGGCAGGACCGCGAGCAAAGAAGGTTGGGAAACACTGGTCTATTATTGCTGATTTGAATTCGCAACCCACTTTCGAGTGAGGCAAGAATGATGTCAAGAAATTTCCATACAAAAATAAAGTTCATATCACGGCACTGCCATTTGTGGAAAATTGTGGCCTTTTTTTTTAGGACAGGAAAATGTATACAGTGTACTACAGTATTAGAGTAAGAACTACTCCAAATGGCTGGATTTGATTATACAGGGGAGGAATTGCTTCATGGATGGAGGCATGAGGAGCTTCGCGCATAAGACATGAGTTTTGGTGGATGAAGAGGGTTGAGGCAAATGAGGGGGGTTCTCTGCAACCCACCAAGTATACAAAAAGTGCATGTTAAAAACCAAGTCAGATTCAAAACCTTGAATTTCTTTGAGCCACAAGGCTGGTAAAGTTGTCTCCCTGCTAGACAAAGCAGTTTGTTTCTGCTTTAGTTTCAAGGGGTTCAAGCCCAAATTTAACATCAAGGGTAATCTTAGGATAACACATTAATAAAAACAACAAAACAAACTTGAAGCAGGATGGAATAAATCAAGTATATCATTGCCTCAACAAATAAGTTTGTCATGACTGTTGCCTTGTCTTATAACAGCCCATTGCAGTTGGACAAAAACAGAATGCGAATGGGGATGAAACGCAGAAAAAGAAATAAATACTGCCACATGAACGAAGTATAAATGAAAAAATCTCAAGAGAAACTTTAAAAGCAGCTCTTCAGTATGGTGCTCGCATCATTTGGAGAGCCTTATCCAAAATAAAATCACATTTCATAATCGGAACAAGTGTATAACAATGACGTCGTGAATCGCACATGTAATTTTAGAACCTGAGGGCAAAACTCACCAAGGTACGTGCCAGAACATTCATGTAATTTTCCGCCTCTTCCGGAGTATTGAAATTCCTGTACTCCGCCAAACTAAACCTTGACACTCGCTGCTCACATTCTCCCCTAGATAAAGCAAAAAAAATTGAGTAGAGAAATATTGTAGAATGGTGGACTCAAAATTACACGCCAAGAATTGTAAATCCCGCGGCGGACACCTTCTGACCAGCGTACGGAGACCAATCAGCGTAATACCGCACGGAGACCAATGGAGAACACTTCCACTCCGAATTTTCGAAGCACGACCTAAAGAACAAAATTAGTACGAACAATTGTAACAAATAAAAAATAGAACCTCAGGTTAAAAAAATTTCTTGATACAACAACCAGACATAGAAAGCTTGTAATTCAAAAACCAACAACACAACAATCATGTTCTTGTTGAGTTTTCTGGTTTGTTTTATTTTGTATTCATGCTTACATACACGGCTACTTTTGCGAAATTGTTCAAAATGATGCAAAAAAATCGGGACGAATTTCCCCATGCAAGGAGTCCTCCCTTCTTCAAACAAAACATCTTCTTTTACAATGTCCAATAAGCAATTGTGGAGAATTTCACGTTTTCCCACCAACTCGAATTTACTCAGAAAGCCACCATTATAGTAGTTTTATCCTGTTCCTGTACCAACTCCATACCTGCACAAAGGGTTGCATTTTTCCTGAGGATTGTCCCACTTCCGATAGGCCTTGAGTATTCCTGGAATAGGTATACCATTGTAAAAAGTATACATGTAAAAAGTATATCCCAAGCAATTGCAAGGTTCGCCATCCAAGGCCTAGTTTCTGCCTGAGCAATTTTTCTGATTGCTCTAAAATTTTTGCAACAATTTTTAATACTTTATTTTGTTATCTATTCTTCATATTACTGAGAGAACTTTCAAGTTTATGTATCTCCTTTGATGGGAGCATGAACTGGGAAAGGGACTTGGAGAGTTTTTCCTCTTTGAGTGAAAGTAGTCTTTTATTATTTCAACAACACAATCTACATCAGACTCAGAGACAGACAAGTGGCAAAGCCACAGGGGAACACACACAGGGAGTCACTGGAGAGTATCTGCACAAATGCCTGAATTGGGGCAGAAGCTACTGTGGTTTATATACTCCAGAATCCCATACATTTGTGGACCAAGAACTGGTACTCAGTTGTTGTTCACATCCTGGTTTCAAGGACATGGGTCAGAGCATTATCCTTTCAGGAAGCTCAAGTTAGAATAATAATAAATAATGTATTAATGTTGAGAGGAGGAGAGGGAGTTCCAGTACTGAGGTGGCTCATTATTTATTATTATTTTCCCTCCTTCCTTTCTTCTTCATGAACTGAGTTACATCCAGTGGTGGAAAGAAACAAAGGTGGAAACATTATGTCCGAGAAGCAAGCTCATCAATTATTCTTTTCCTTGCTTATTTCTCTTTTCCTTCCTTTACATCATTTCCCATGGGCAGAGTCAGCAGAGCCTGCAAGGGTTCAACATTAAGTGTGGGATTGTTTGGTCGGAAAGTTCTGTACCAAACATGATAATTTCTGCTGAGAACAATTTTTACCTGGTTGATAAGAAAAATATAGAAAACAGGAGAGGAACCTAGGCAAATGGGTAGAAAATCGGCTGACTCACGGGACAAGATTTAACCGGACTTCGGTAGAAATCTTTTTACCCTGCTTTCTAACTTTGAAGCAGAAGATTAAAATAAAAAGTTATATAAAATTATATAAAGTAGTGAGAAAAAAATCACAGGCAAAAACTAGGCCTTTGATGGTGGCTTTGACAAGGAAATAGAAAAGATTGGAAATGAAGCCTTACTCTCTGAAAAATTCAAAATTCACTTCAGTTTCGATTTGTTGCAAACAAATAATCACTGAAAATTTTGGAAATTGCACAAGATGTAGGAGAGTTTATGCTGAAAACAAATACATTTTCAATATTTTATCTGGCCTGAAAAAGTTTCAACAGCTTGTGACGTGAGCCGAGAACTCTCACCAGCACCGGAAAGTTTTCACTTATCAGCAAGCAGTAAATTTAAAAATTTTATAAAAACCTGAAAAAATACCAGAACCTTGCAATTGCATAAGCTTTTTTTTTACAATGGTACCTAATCTAGAAAGATACCCTCGTATTCCTTAAAACTTCCAATCATGCCGGAACAACAGGATTCACGATTCGAAAAAAAGAAGCGCCCAAGTCCTAAGCAGGACTGGCACTGGTGAGGTTCGGCGCATTTGAAAGAACAATTTGGCGACCTTCTAAAAAGTTAAGCACTGTACACAAGAAACTTTTTTTCGTACGAATGTACAAAGCTTGAAGTTCACTCATTGTTTCACTTCGGCTTGGTACTGGCGAGACAGTTTCAACTCTTCGAAATTCTCAAGGATTCAGCCGCACCCAGCCTCGCCAATCGATCCGCAGCTTCGTTTCCTTTTTCTTTGGAATGACCTCGTATCCACTTCTAAAAGATTTTTAAAGAAATGATGCATTATTTCTTTAAAAGTAAGCCAGCTATGAAGATAAAAAGCATTTAAGACGATAGCAACACTGAGAACAAGGAGAACTATAGTGTACATGATCATCATCACTTTTTATATTTTTTAAACTTTTCATATTTGTAAGATACAGTATTCTCTTATTTTCCACGGATAGATGCATGATTCTCCAAGGACACTACACTGAATTGAAGAATGCGATGACAACTTCAGGCGCAAATATTGCATATAATGATCATACAACCAATCTCAAGTGAATAAAGGCACCTTGAACTTACATAGCGTGCGAAGGAACTTTTCAGTCTAATGATGTACAGTAGTACTCGTATGCTTTAAATACTGTATCCAGAATGAATGATGAAACAAGAAAAACAATTAATAGGAGACACAAATTTGATCTCTTAGAACATTACATTAAATATACATGTGAATTTTCTCACGGCAAAATTATATATATAAAAAAAAAGAACTCACAAATTTCACTTCCACATAATTGAAGGCTTCGTCGATAGCTCGGATTTCATTTTGATTCAGGACATCTTTATTCGCGGTTGTCTGCCAATTGTTGCCTTTCCATTTCGGCAGCCAAACAGTGACACAATTCTTGGCGTACTTCGAATCGGTACGGACCTCTAACTTACTCAAACCTGCGGTATAACATCAGGGTGAATTTCTCATACAGTAGGATGCGGATTGTCTAAATTTTTCGTCATTATACCGGCTTCCTTGGCAATGTGGATCGCATAGAGCACGGCAGTCAGTTCTGCACGGTTACTTGTGCCCGGAACCGACAGGGGCTCTGAAATGTTCCTGCGGAAAAATTAACGAAGGAATAAACTAAAATTTGACGAACGAGGTCGAACATCTGTCGAAC